TCAAATAGATAGATAGATAGATAGATAGATAGATAGATATATAGATAGATAGATAGAGAGATAGATAGATAGATAGATAGGCAGACAGACAGGCAGATAGAGAGACAGACGGTCATATAGATAGATAGATAGATAGGTAGATAGATAGACAGACAGGCAGATAGACAGACAGACGGTCAAATAGATAGATAGATAGATAGATAGATAGATAGATAGATAGATAGATAGATAGACAGGCAGATAGACAGACAGACGGTCAAATAGATAGATAGATAGATAGATAGATAGATAGACAGACAGGCAGATAGACAGACAGACGGTCAAATAGATAGATAGATAGATAGATAGACAGACAGACAGGCAGATAGACAGACAGACGGTCAGTATATATATATATATATATATATATATATATATATATATATATATATATAGATAGATAGATAGATAGATAGATAGACAGACAGACAGGCAGATAGACAGACAGACGGTCAAATAGATAGATAGATAGATAGATAGATAGATAGATAGATAGATAGATAGATAGACAGGCAGATAGACAGACAGACGGTCAAATAGATAGATAGATAGATGATGGCGTGTGACTGAGGAAAAATTACAATAAAATGAAGCAACATATATAATATGAAAGTAAAAATAAATAAATAATTTTATTAAAAAGCAGACAAATTTACGAAAAAAGATAAAAATAATCATACAAACGTTTCCAGACACCGCATTTGGATCGATTGTGAATTTAATATTATCCGTTTCTTTGTATGGAAATAATGTGCATTTATTAACCAAGCAACCGGTTCTACTCACGATTGAAATTAATACTATATTTCTCCCGATATAATTATACAGAATAAGTTCAGCTATCTCAAATCCAGTTATCTCACAAACCAGTACTGATTGGGGTTTCCTTCCTTGCTTTTTGTTCCAGGTAGTGTGGAATATCATCATCTAGACTATGTCATTTTCTTTTCCATTTACACGTGCAACTGATTTTATATGTCGCTCCCAGAAACAATCTTCAAGCTATCTGGATTTGTTATTTGGAGCATATCTTTATGATTCTGTAGCGCCAGTTCCCGATGTATGATGATGGATGGTGCTCTCTAAGATATCAAAAAAAAAAAAATTGTAATCTTAAAGTATATTGTTATCATTCAAGGGTGTATTATGTCCTCTCGAGCAGACTTCTAATTATGGAGCCGCTGGCTGTTCTCCTTTCGAAGACACCCGAGACATCTAGTCGATTACAATAAGTAGAGCTTGGTCATATACTGGCGATGAGCCATGTTGGAAAGAAAGAGAGGCGTGCTTGAACACCCCGACAACTAAGAGCTTGATCACTGAATGTGTAAACTCCGCCTCCTTTGTTTAATCACTGATGGCCCTTATGGACTTACTGGGTTCGTGATTAATGAGCTCCAGGACCTGCTGAACGAACTCTGTTGCCTTTAAGACGTCTAATTATTCAGCTTCATTCTGTCCCTTGGTCACGATTAAAACGTTACCGCCAGGAGACTGCAGGCTTTTGCTGACGTTGAGCACAAAAGAAGTTGGTTGTCCTCGATTCGCTATAATTGCCCCAAGTAAGCCGTGCCGTTTAATTTTCGGTGGCGGTTTGGGAGCTGCCATATTAATGCTCTCGATACAATTAAAAGAGAAATATGGAAGTTAACATTCAGCGCAAATCATTTGACATTACAGTGTGCTATGGATAATCTGTCGTCTGAATTATGCAAAAATGAAAATAACACAGACATCTCATTTTAACAGATATATTTACCAAATTTGCACAGAAATATCTTGAAATACTATAAAGTAAATTCATTCAATCACGAATTCAAGATGATTTCGGAATATTCTGCAATTCTTCCAAAGGTTCTCTTTGTTTAAGTTGGTGAATACGTCCATAATACTTGCCTTCAGGTTATCTTTGGTGTTAAAAGGAGTTTTGTTGGTCTCTTGCTCAACTCTGCCTCAAAAATCATAATCCAGCTGGGTGTAGTCTGGGGAGTTAACTGGCCAGATATAAGGTATGATGTGGTCATAGAAATTGTCAGACAGCCATGACTGGGTTCTCTTGCATGTGTGGCATGATGCAGAGTAATGCTGTTAGTCATAGGGTCTTCCAGCAGCCACCATATGGATCCAGGGCAACACTACCTCCTCAAGGAACTAGATGTAGGCCTCCGTGTTGTTTCTGAGACCTTGTGTAAAGATGAATAAAGGCATAACTTTGTCATCACTAGTAATCACTCCAAACACCATGATATAGCGCCCAACTCTTTCCAAATCCTCTACACTCTCTTTCCATTGGCACCCAAACTTTCTGAAATGTTCGTACAGGAGCTTCTGGTGAGAAAATTAAGGAAAGCATCATGACGTTTCCAAATGTCTGTAGAATTAAGTCACGGGGCTCTTTTTCCCACAGATGGTGCCCAACTGACCCTACTATACTGTGCAGTTTGACAAAATAAATAAAAAAAACCCAAAAAAACCAGCATGTACGAAATTAAAAATATAATATGCAGACAATTTACACATGGCATCTTGTTCTTTTTTTAATTTGTGATCTATTTATTGCCGGTAATTTGTATCGGAATAATAATTTTTAGCACTCATCCAATACGAGACTGTATAGCCATTTATGTTAGTGTTACTGAATGAGATGTCACCTAGGAATCGAAGTAGCAGAACTTTTCAGATCAAAAATATCATGCCTCCAATTTTAATAGGCTATGTGATTTAGCATATCATATATTCCGGCCCCGCATTGAAGCCATCTTTGCAACAGAGGACAATTACATCAAATAAACATGTAATCCAATCATAATTGCATCAGAGTACAGAGTTCTGTATCAATAGATTTATTTGTTTCTAATATGTTGTTGGTTTCATTCCGGTCTTTCTGGTGTCCTCAAAAACTATACTGTATTTTTTTAAAGCAATTCACACAAGCAAGGCGGGAATGCCACTAGCACGAAAGGGGTTACAGAGGATTGGGAACAAAAGTAAAGAGGCGTGTTTGAGGAAAGGATACAGAAAAGGACGTGAAAAAAGCTCTTGATTATTTGAAGATCAGAGTCATCGGGGAAGCAAGTAAGGGGAAGGGAGTTCCATAGACGGGAAGTGCGAGAGAAGCTGTTTGAGAAGAGACGATTACATTTTACCGTTTTGACAGTAAAAGGGTGGGGCCGAGATGCGAGCATGGGAGTTCGCTTACATTCATACAGTCTGAGAAATAGCGAAAGTAGCTCGTCGGAACAGATGCCGTGAAAATACTTGTAGATGAGACAGAGGCAAAATATGTCACTTCTGTAGGAAAGCGATTGTAAACTATATGTCACATCAGGACCTATCACATTGCATATTCGTCTCTGGATTTTGTCGAGGACTTCAAGACGTACAGCGGCGGCACCATCTGACAGCAATATTCCATACAAGCACCGATGGCGGATTTATAGATTTGAACGATGGAGTCATCATACAAGCATATTAAATATATGATATTATACGTGAATCGTGACTATATTTGTGTCTTATGTGATTTAACGCTAAAACATGTTAAACGGACTTCATTCCCATCTTTGAAAAGATGGGGATGAAGTCCGATTACAGGCTATGGAAAATGGCATGTTTAAACAATATGGAGCTGGAAATGTTTCTGGAAAAAAAGGATCTGTAACAATTCTATGGGACATTAAAATACACACAGACAGAGTGGCCAAAGCTAATCGCCAAGATATCGTAGACAAAAACCAAAAGGACAAAATGTACTTTCTTATTGATATGGCAGTTCCTGCTGATTTTAATGTATCTTTGAAGTTCGTCAAAAAAGTAGCAATATAGAAGGATCTTGAAGTGGAAATCTCAGAAAGAGACACATGAGGAAATCAGTAATTCCAGTTGTAGTTGGAGCACTAGGATTGATTGGAAAATCTTCCGATAGCCGCATTGAAGGGGTTCCCTGTAGTTCATGCCTTGAAGAAATAAAAAAAAAATTGTACTCTCAGGTACAGTTTACACATTACAAAGATTTTTAACTATGTATTTTTTTATACAAAAATGATCAGTAGAAAATATTCATGGATCCATTTCTGACATTAGATACCGCGTTGGAACTTGTAAGGAAATATGTATAGAACACAAACCAAATGAAATAATAATAATAATAATAATAATAATAAATAAGGTGAAATCGAAATCTCAGAAATGTGGCACATCGGAACATCAACAATCCCTGTTGTAGTTGGAGCCCTCGGATTGGTTGGAAAAGATTCCAGTAGATAATTGGAGGAATTCCTGGAAGCTCATGCCTTAAAGAAATACAAAAGATTGTTCTCACGAGTACAGCCCACACCTTACGAAGGGCTTTATCTATGTAACATATGAGTGTGTGTTTCTTTTTGTTGTTTTTTTATTGATTGGTCAGTGGAAAATGTCATGATACAATTTCTAACCTTAGGTATCTGGACGACACCCGGAAATAAATGTGTACAGACCAGAAATCAAAGGAAATCATGGAAAAATAATAATAAATTTGTCACAAAAAAATCCTCAGTGGAAAATGCCATGATGCCATTTTTTACCTTAGGTCTCTGGTTGGGACCCGGAAAGATATGTGTATACAGAAATCAAAGGAAACAATAATAATAGTAGGAATGGCAGTAATTTTTGTCTGAATCTCTGGGGTGGGGATTATTATTTACATTATTTACATTCGACCGGTTGTCCTCATTTCATTTTTGTTGTTTTTCTATTTCAATTGTTTTGGACTTCCTTAGAAGCTTGTCAATCCGGTTAAGGAATTTCTAGGGATAACTCGTCCTGTTCTAATTTACTAATGTCCAGTTATTTCCATTAATTCTAAGTACACACTGAATGGCCCAGAGATTGAACTCACAATCACTTTCTTACTAAATACACGGACAAATATTTTAACCCACTAGGCTATTGTCCCGTGATGAAGTTCAGAGGGCACAAAAGAGAAAACGACGCAAAAAAACAACAAAGATGAGGATATATTCCGCGTGTAAATAATGAAAATATTATTAAATTATATGTAATAATGTTCATTATTTGCACTATTCGAACTGTTATCATCATCGCCATATTCACTACGTTTCGGGCGTTGTACACTGCCGCCTTCTACAATCACTTTTGACGTAACATGTCCCTTCCGGATGTCTCAGTTATTTGCCATTCACTCAACTCGACAAGTTTCTTTTGGTACACCTTTGCTGTGGCCGGGTATTGAACTCACAAATCATTGGGTCTAGTCACTGTACCTAACCAACGTCTTTACCCACTGGGCCATGTGTTCTTGATTTGCACGTGAACATTAATTTTGGGACTTATAAACCTAATATCTCAGCAATCATTTTTACCAGTGCTCATAATGCAATTTTTCTGTCATTATTATTGTATATATATATATATTTTGACCAGGGCTCATACTGCAATTTTTGTTGTTATTATTATTGTATATATATATATTGTTTTATCAGTGCTCATAATGCAATTTTTGTTATTATTATTGTATATATATATATTTTACCAGTGCTCATAATGCAATTTTTCTATTATTATTATTGTATATATATATTGTTTTATCAGTGCTCATAATGCAATTTTTCTATTATTATTATTATTGTATATATATATATATATATATATATATATATATATATATATATATGTATTTACCAGTGCTCATAATGAAGTTTTTCTGTTATTATTATTGTATATATATATATATATATATATTTTTACCAGTGCTCATAATGCAATTTTTCTGTTATTATTATTGTATATATATATATATTTATTTATTTTTTGCCAGAGCTTATATTGTAATTATTTGTTGTTATTCATTGCTTTTCTCTAGCACTCATTATCACTGGTTCCCATAAAGTATTCATTTCTATGCTTGGTCGGCTCAGGCGAATCTGTGGCTTAGAATATGTGTAGATTCTAGTTTTCGAATTTTTACAGCAAGCGAAACATTGTGAATATGACGATGAAAATGAGGATAACAGCCCGAATAATGTAGATAATGCAAGTATTCATAATACCTCATCTCAGAGATATAGACAGATAACGTTCATTATTCAGCGAAGCCTACACTGAATCTCGTAACTTTTCTAATTATTCATTCGGATACTCGACCAGAATGATTATATTTGTTACAAAAAATTGATCAAAGCAAACATTAATTGAGAATATAAATAAATAAAAGCCTCAGCATTAAAGAAATTAGATTAATAATAATGACTGTTTTAATACTTTTTTTGTAAAGAAACACATTTGAATTTGTTTTTTTAATCCTTTCGCAAAGGAAATGAAGCCCATAAGACTCCAGTGGTGTTAGTGTTAGAGAATATGAGAGGAAAAATTTATTAATCAGGAAAGAGAATTAAAAAACAAGAATTAAGTAGACATATGATATCAATTGATATTACATTTACATTTTTGGAGATCAGTGTTAGCTGTGAGAGAGCTATGAAAGTGAGAAGCGCGGGAGAAGAAACTACTATGATAGAACTTAAGGTTACATCTAGGCACTTCAACACAGTCGTCCTCATCTTGAAATAATTAGATTTTAGATTTCGTGATGGGTAAAGGAATACATATATATATATATATATATATATATATATATATATATATATATATATATATATGTGTGTGTATGTTTGTGTGTGTGTGTGTGTATGTATCTAATTATGTCTGGATGCTTATGTATTATAATCTGATTGTGTTTTTGTTGTGTCACGTGTGAGTTTAAGACCATATTCACAAACTTTAAAATAAAACGGAAAAGAAAAAAATATATACATGTATTATCAGATGACCGGACGAATTGTATGTCTTGTCTTGTCAGACGTAATTTCAATGAAGAAATGAATTGAATAAACATATATATTTTTTTTTTTCTCAATAATTTTGTTTTTTAAACTTAATAGTGATTAAATTTGGTTTTTAAAATTGCCAGTTTTTAATTTTAATATTAAATTTTATCATATAAATTTATAATTATTAGTTAGTATAAATTATTTTTTTAATATTACACGTATTTAAAGATCTAAATAGCTATAATAGCAGGATTTTGTTGTCAAGCTTTTGAATCTTTCTGTACTTCGTTTTTGATTGGTTATTCTAGCTTTTGTAACAATGTTCCCCTAGTGTAGAATCGTTAATTAATCTGAAACTTTTAAAACCATTTATTTTATTTTCAACACCATCACTTGATAAGACACAGAGTGTGTTGAAACAAAATGGCTATTTTGTAGTGATTTTATAACATACTTATGTTATAAATTTTTTTATAAAAAAATTATATATATATATATATATATGAATTAGTGGCGCCTAACCGAGTATTTTTCGAAGGAGTTACTATTATTGTATCTGTGTTTTACAAAGTCTCTCCTACAAACGGGAATTACACAATCTATATACTCTCTCTATCTCTCCCTATATATATATATATATATATATATATATATATATATATATATATATATATGTGTGTGTGTGTGTGTGTGTGTGTGTGTGTGTGTCTGTCTGTCTGTCTGTGTGTGAGGGAGGGAGAGAGAGTGTGTGTGTTCTATTTCGTTTCATTTTTATTTCCTTTCTTCATTAGAATTCATTTATAATTCGGCAAAAATGTCTCTCGATTTCTTTGTTTTATTGCGTTTTGGAAAGCCATTTATTTCCCACCGATTATCTGACCTGATAATGTTTTCAATTCAATCGATATCATTGTACCAAAGGCCATTTAGTGCGTCAGTGAGATTAATAAACTTTATAACCCCATCATCTATTTGTCAATTGATTGACGCTTGTGTATAGTATGTTGCATGATTTATGTCGGTCTAGTAGTAACGAATTAAGCGTCTTTGATATACAAACATTCACTTCCTGGCCATCCATCCTGTAATACTGACGTGGGAGAAAGAGAGTGAAGTAGCAGCGAGATTGGAAAATGAGTTAGACAATGAAACTGAGGGAAAAATAGATAGATAGATAGATAGATAGATAGATAGATAGATAGATAGATAGATAGATAGATAGATGTTTCTATATGTAGACGTTTGGACGTTTATATACGTGATTGTATTAATATACGCAGTCAAATATTTAGAACTGCGGATATATATATATATATATATATATATATATATATATATATATATATAGTTTATGCAAAACTAGGTAATCCGTATTGGTAGACCCAAGGAGGATGATATCCGAGAGCTCAATGTAAATTCAGAGCAAATATGTTTGAATAAAAAAACAGACCACTTTAAGGTTCCATGTAATAATATATATATATAAAAAAGTTTCAAAAGGATGAAACAAAAAATTAAATATATATTTATCGGCCTGAATTTTATTTAATACTGTTTATTATAAACAGTATTAAATTTATCGGCCTGAATTTTATTTAATACTGTTTATTATAAACAAACATTTACTAAATCTTGTATCTATAAAAAGAACGTTAAACATAAAAATGTCTTTAATAAATAAATTGTCGGACTTTGTCCATTTCCATTTCTTAATATATATATATATATATATATATATATATATATATACGGAGTGTAATATGAAAACTGTCCAAACAGTGTAACGACATAATTCTCTAGCCCACGAAATGTTGAATATCTAAAAAGCACTAAACTAATGGGGATTCTTTTTCCAAATTTTCAGATAACGCGTTTAGCCGTCTTGATACCATTTATCATAAGATTCATTGAAAAACATATTCAGCTAGAGAACAGGTTAAAATCTTTTTATGTCAGACACACTGACTTCTCAGCTGAGCAGTGGTGAAAGGAAAAAATATCATTTAAGCCTTCAGTAACATTCATACATTGGCTTCCACCTTCAAAGTCTATTCAAGAGGAAGGTGAATAAGTTGTAAAAATATGCAGCAGTAATGAAAAAATCAGGAGATTACAACAACAAGAGGGGTCATCATATCAACTTGGAACTAAAGAGATCAAGTAGAAAAGATCCAACTCAATTCATAAGACGTTTGGCACGTGAGATATGGCAGTCCAAAGAGCAGTGAAAAATTTGCAAATTAAATTGTTCTTGTAAGTTAGAAAATGATCCTGGAATATATATATATATATATATATATATATATATATATATATATATATATATATATATATATATATATATATATATATATATATATATATATATATATATATATATATATATATATATATATAGTCATCTGAACAGACTGCTTCGCTGTACTACAACTTCTCAGTGTGGCTAGACGGCTAGACATCCGATTGCTTCAAGCCGGGATCGCAGAGCCGAGTTCGAATTTCAGTCGAATCCATTACATTCACTTACGTGCTAATACCCTTGGGAAAGATATCCTCTTCCTCGAGCTATGGGTAAAAATAGCAGGAGAGACTCGGTTTTATAGCCTTGGATGGCAACTGGTCTAGGGAGAAGGACAACTCTGAATTCAAAACCTGCGAAGGGTCGTTTGGGAACCTTGTGGCATTCGGTGCACCAGGTCTCTGTATTCGTCCCCTCAAAAAGTGTGGATGGTTCTGCACGAGGCTTTCAACACCATAATCAAATCTCATATGCCGTTGTTGGTTTCCTGGAAACTGATCTGCTTGATCCTCACACGTCGAATCTCGACGGGAGAGTCGATATATATATATATATATATATATATATATATATATATATATATATATATGTATGTATGAACAATATTTCAATCCTTCATGAGCCTTCAATCCTTAGCTATGATTAATTAATGATGACTAATTTCATAACAATTCTTCTGTTAAACTTGTAGAGTAATTATAATTTCTTATTGGACAAAACAGAGTCCAATATTGCTAAATGTATTCCAGTAAGATCTGTGCAATTTGGTGTTACAAGCGGTATATATATATATATATATATATATATATATATATATATATATATATATATATAAGTCAACACTTAGAGGCGACAGTGTGTTTAATGTTAGATACAATCATCAGGCCTGACGATTACATCTAGCATGAAACAGACTGTTAACTCTAAGTGTTGACTTATATATATATATATATATATATATATATATATATATATATATATATATAGTTATATATATATATTTATGTATATATATATATATATATAGTTATATATAGTTATATATATAGGTATATATTGAATTTGTAGGTTTGATGAATTGGATCGTGATTACGATTCCAATGTAATAAATTATAACCATGGAATATTAGTGTTCGAGTAATTTAGATTATATACGTGTGTGTGTGTGTGTGTGTGTGTGTGTGTGTGTGTGTGTGTGTGTGTGTTTTGTGGAGAAAATACTCCATTAAATATGTGGTCTAATTTCAGTCATGCCGACTTCGAAATTTCATGAACGCATTGTTCTAAGGCCTTCCTTCTTGAGGGATATTCTCTGCTTGCCAGCCTAAAATGCCTTTTCACAAATAAAATACGGAAAAAGAATCAGCAACTTTGACACCTAACACTCTTACAATTTAATATAATAATATATATATATATATATATATATATATATATATATATATATATATATATAGAGAGAGAGAGAGAGAGAGAGAGATGTATGTTTGCCTGTGTTTTCCTGTAGAGAGAAACATATATTTATAAGTGTTTGCTTCATTTTCGTGGAGAGAGAGAGATACATATATGTTTGAGTGTTTGTGTGTGTTTTCGTGTAGAGAGAGAGAGAGATTGAGAGAGAAAAAGAGACATATTTGTATGAGTGTTTGCCTGTGATGTCGTGCTGAGAGATAAAAATACATATTCTTTTTAGTGTACACCCACTTTTTCCTGATCTCCGTATTCGAACTTAAAATCCTTAATTATCACGAAAATCTTAATATGAAATGCACAGAGAAGCCGCATTAAGGCTGTGGCAAGCCGATATGCCCGATTAGGACGAATTACATTGCAAATTCTTCTTTGAATGACCCTTTTCCGTATTATTGTCAAACATTTCCTTTTAGGAGTGAAATGATAAATAACCCCAGCCTGTGGATACTTAGTCACACTTTTCGGAATGTCTGATAAGAAAGAAATGAGGGACACTGTCTAATGAAATTTGAATAATCACTCCTTAGTTTTGAATGCAGAATTTTTCATCTGCACTCTCTAACATCTAAGTCAAGGGTTCCCATTCTACCTTGCTATTTAACCCATACCTGGGGAAAATTGATTCCCCATTTTGTCCAGTATAATTAAAGCAAACTGAACACTCCTACTGAACAGGAGTAGAATTTTGTTCCCTTTCTAATATAGGGTTTCCGCTTCCTTCGGAAATATCTTTCTTTCATTTTCAATGTCAGTAGCCACTTGCGTCTTAGTAACATTCTTGCTTTGCTTGGGACGAATAGATATAAGCGATCACTGGTAGAACTCAGATCTTACGTCGAGTATAAACAACTAAACTGAGGTAGTTGTTGGACACACACGCGTTGAGAATTGATCATCTGTCTATATTTCTGGGATGTGGTATTATGTACATTATTTACATTATTTGGACTGGATAAAGGCGTTGGTTAGATCCAGTGACAGGACCCAAAGATTGTGAGTTTAATACCCGGTTAAGGCAGCGGAGAACGTTCAGAGGGAAACTAACAGGAGATAACTGATAACTGACATCCATTATTCGACATTCCAACCACCTGAAGAAGGCCAGAGCGTACAACGGCTGAAATGTTGTAATAAATATGGCGACAAAGATGAGGACAATAGTCCGAATAATGTAAATAATGTAAAATTGATAATTATCATCATCAGTTCTCTCTTCCTCTCTCTCTCTCCCTGAATATATGTGTGTGTGTGTGTGTGCGCGAATGTGTGTTTATGCATACAGAAAGAGAGAGAGAGAGAGATACACTCGTGCATTCCGTTTAATTCTCATAGAGCGTAACAATTTAATTTCTCTTATATCGTCTTTGGCTCTGGTCTATCGAGATTTAAGCGAAACTTAGATATGGCACATGGTAGAAATTAAGGAGCACCCAGTGAGGGCCGAATTCACGACTCAATCGTAACTGACCTAGCGCGATAGGTTTGTTCCCCAACAAAGCACATCAAAATGCCCGTCTTCTTAACATATTTTGCTTTATTTTTAAATTTTCGTTTAATTCTTGAACATTCCATCTTACTGTTCTTTTGTCCTACACTTCAAGTCTAGTATCAATCTTTATCTATCCTCAATATCCTCAGAATATTCACTTCCTACTTATTCCTTTACGTTCTTATCGAAAACTTCATTCAGTGACCGTCTACCATAAGTTGCTCTTGTGTTGCTTCACTCACAACCCTCTACCTTGTATTGGGTGAACTTTCGTAAAAATCAAAATTAAGTATTCCTTTATATCAATCACTCGATATATGGCTGTCGTTCATATTTATGCAACACACTCCTGCATTTCAGTACGTGCGTATCTCTCTGCATCAATCCATTCAGCTTTCTCTATTCATCTGTCTACCTAAATACACGTCTTTCTCTACGCCTCATTTAGTTTATGCCCCATATCCTAACAGTGATGTTGTTATGCTTTAGTTCACAGGATCAATCAACTGCCCACGGGCGAATAAAGAACGCTTCTCAGGGATGTGTACATTGATAATAATCGTTCATTATTGTAATGTTTATTAATATGACCCATAAATAGCGTCCGATTACGTGAAATTTTAACTGCATATTCGATTTTTTCCAAATGACTGTTTTCCACAAATCTAATTTTTTTCTTTTTTATTTTCATGCATATATTTCGATGCTAGTATGAGAATTGTTATCTATGCTAACGACCCAACTATTCCCTTATGTCTTAATAGGAAGTCTGATCGGTTCGATAAGGCTAAAATTGGTAGCTGATCTCATAAATGACCTACAATCTGTTGTTAACTGGAGCAAGAAATGGCCTGTTAATGCTAACACATACGAAACCAAACTGCTCGCTTTTAAACGTCTAAGAGAAATAGTTTTTCTACCATCAGAATGGCTGATGCTAACCTCCTCAAGATTGATCCATTGTGCC